AATCAACGGAGATAGTGTTAATCCAACCGTTGAACAAACTGAAACAGACAAAACATATGAATCTGATGATCTGAAAGGTACCAGCCACTACTTTAACCTACATGGCCGACTGCTTCAAATTGGTTTATGAAGTTTTGGGCTTGGCATCTACTTTAGCCCATTCTGATAATTCACCAAACATGACTCGGAATTTCTCAATTTTTCTTGGGTTATATTTAAAATTTACATAATTTTGTATAATTTTACTTATAGTGAACAGATGAAATTATTTAGATTCAGTTATATATATATATAACTTTTTTTGTGAAATGTTTACCTTATCCGAATTTCTTTATAAGCAAATTATATGTTTGGTTTATTTAATCTAAATGTATAATTATATTATTAATTATTTAATCAAAAGAATATAAGATTATTTTTTTATATTAATGTTTTAATATCAAGTTTTAAATTATTTTATCCTAACATTCCAAATCATTAATTTTTTAAAGTATTTCATCATGACATTCTAAATTATTTCTAAAACTATTTCTTTTAACTTAAAACATTTCAGGATTAAATGTATATTTTGAGTTGTATTTTTTTTAAAAATTTAAGTTTTATCTTTGATTATATAATTTATTTTTTTGAATTTTACGTGTGGATTATATATTATACTTTTAAGTTGTAAGTTTTATATTTTGTTTCATGTAGTTTTTAAAAATAATATACGTATAGTGATTTTATTTTATCTTTCTCTCTCTCTTTTAGAAAAGTAAAAATAATATACGTATAGTGATTTTATTTTATCTTTTAAAAATAATAAAAATAATTTTATTATCAAAATATAAAAAGGTTGGGTATGGAAATAGATTTTTAGAAGACGACTAAGATTGTTAGTGGATCAAACTATAGGGTTGATATTATTTGTTTTTTTTTTCCTTTTACATTTGTTGGGTGATACAGGGTTTCTTATGGAGTAAGTTTGAGCTTTGGAAGATTCTTATAGTAATTATTTTCCTTATTTTTTTTAATATTTTCATATATAATGTAGACTTTGACCGTTACAATATTAATACGATGATTCACGATATTGACGTGACATTTAATAATAGATAATGATATGATAGAATAATTTAATTATTTTTGTTTTCAAGTTTAATGGTCTAATTGTTTTTTTAAAAAGGTTAACGGGTTCATTTATTTTAAAAAATAAAATAAAAATAATTTTAAATTAAAAATATAAAAATATTAAACATAAAAAAGTAAGTATAAAACTAATATTAATATCAAATTCCTATAAAATTAAAAAATACTAAATAAATATTCATATAATCAAATAAAAATACTAATATGTTTTTAATGTCAGATACATATCAACCATCATTATATATATCATGCACTTTTATTCATACAAGTACATATTTTGCATCTAAATGTAGTTAAAATATATCATAAGTTATTTATATCAATACCTACATCTAATTATATTTCAAATAATTTGAAGGATTATTTACAAGTCCTTACCCATGACATAATAAGCTAGTATATAAAGTGCACTTACCTTATGAGTTTTTAAAGCCGTATTTTTACAATCTCATGTTCAAAGAATATTTAAAAATTAAAAATATCGATAGTATTATAGAATATAAATAATAAAAATTATTAAAAATTATAAAGGGATTTATGACCTTATCATATAATAAGTAGGATTAGACTGATGACAGAGTTGCTGTTTTTTTCTTCTTCATAAAAATCTTTTTTTTGAAAACCGGATCGGATCGGCCGGTTCAATTAGGAATCGTTGTTTAGTTCGGTTCAATCTAAACCGGTTGAACCGTTACTAGTGAACCGGTCAAAACCGTTGAACCGTTCGAACCGGACCGGCTGAAAACCGAAAAAAACCAGGAATTTTGTTTATTTTTTTAAAAAAATTAAACCAAACAACGTCGTTTGTTAAACGAGCCAAGTCGAACTCGAGTATTGCTGAGCTCGACTCGAACTTGAAAACTTTAAAAGTAAGTTCAAGTCAACTCAAACTCACAAGCTAAAGACTCGAACTTGAAAACTTTAAAAGTAAGTTCAAGTCAACTCAAACTCACAAGCTAAAAATTATCAAGATCAACTCAAACTCGAAATATAATATTAAAACTGAACTCAAATATGCTTGAATTCAAAAAAATTTAGAAGCTCGATTGAAGCCTAAAATTCAAGCTTGATTGAGTGAAAGATAGTTCATTTTAAACTAAACAATATCATTTTGTTATGATTTTAATCATTTTGTTCACTTGATTTTATTTTTAACTTATATATGTTATGACTTGCTTTGATATGACTTGTGATATAAAAAATTATTTTTATTAAATTTTTTGGTATTTTTATTTAATTTTTTAAATAATTATGACGTCGTCTGGTTCTCCGACCGGTCGAACCGTTCGACCGTTGAACCAGTGAACCGGTAGTATGACCGGTTCGCTAACCGGTCCGGTTCTGAAACCATGATAAAATGATCAATTTTTATTTTTATTTTAATAATTAATAATTTATTCTTTGATTATATTTTATATTATATTTTTTTAGTATTGTTTATATAACTTTTTAGATATTTAATAATATTTGTATAGTATACTTAATTTTTCTTTTGTTTTAAAAATCAAAAAAATCTCAAACTTTCTTGAAAAAAGTTAATTAGATCTTTGAATAAATTAAAAAAATCGTTAATAAAAAAACATTATATATCATTAAACCAACAATCAATCTATTATGGGATGGATAGACCTCAGACAAAGTCATAATTAAATGATGACATTTATAAATGGAACAAACTGAATTATAAGAGTCTCCGTATTAGACTTATGCTCTAATATGAATTAATCAATTAAAATAAATACATGTGATTATAAAAAAAGAAATCAACGAGATTAGTGTTAATCCAACCGTTGGAAAACTGAAACAGACAAAAACATATGAATCTGATGATCTGAAAAGGTTCCAGCCAACTACTTTAACCTACATGGCCGACTGCTTCAAAATTGGTTTATGAAGTTTTGGGCTTGGCATCTACTTTAGCCCATTCTGATAATTTCACCAAACATGACTCGGAATTTCTCAATTTTTCTTGGGTTATATTTAAAATTATACATAATTTTGTAATTTTACTTATAGTGAAACAGATGAAATTATTTAGATTCAGTTATATATATATATATTACTTTTTTTGTGAAATGTTTACCTTATCCGAATTTCTTATATAGCAAAATTATAATGTTTGGTTTATTTAATCTAAATGTATAATATTATTAATTATTTAATCAAAAGAATATAAGATTATTTTTTTATATTAATGTTTTAATATCAGTTTTAAATTATTTTATCCTAACATTCCAAATCATTAATTTTTTAAAGTATTTCATCATGACATTCTAAATTATTTCTAAAACTATTTCTTTTAACTTAAAACATTTCAGGTTTAACTGTATATTTTGAGTTGTATTTTTTAAAAATTTAAGTTTTATCTTAGATTAATAATTTATTTTTTTGAACTTTATGTGTGGATTATATATTATACTTTTAAGTTGTAAGTTTTATATTTTGTTTCATGTAGTTTTTAAAAATAATATACGTATAGTGATTTTATTTTATCTTTCTCTCTCTTTTTTTTGTCACCGTTGGTCTTTTTTATTTTTATTATCGACGACGACATCAACTTTGATGCGGACCATCGATATTTATTGTTTTCATTTATCTTTTTTAGGGTTGAATTTGTGATCACTTTAACTTATCAAGACGATTTTTATTTGTTATCATGCTTATCTTTCCTGTATTGAACTCGAATTGGATTTGTATATGCAATTTATGTTCGTAGATATTTTTTTTTCGCGTCGTTCGAGTCTAATTTATGATTTATCGATGATCTTTCAATAGTTTGATCCCCTTTTGTGGTTCATTTGTCGGTGCAGTCAGATTTGTTCGCAATTATCTTTTGTTCAAATTTATTCAGTTAGATTTTTTAACATTTTCTTGTATGATCATGTGTGATAAGTGACTATTTTTTGTGTTAATAATAATAGGAAAAATGTTTTTTATATGTTTAATTTATTGTGATTACAAGCCTTAGTTGTAATTTAGATATTTTTAATTTTGATAAAACTAATTGTTTCTGTAAGAAATATAATTTAAAGAAAAAAAATAAACTTAATAGACTAGAACAATGTCATTTTAGAGACTATATTTTAAGTGTGTAATAATTTTATCACTAAACTTTTAAATAAATCTATTTTTACATTGTATATTTTCATCAATCACTAACAGTCAATCACCGATCGTCTTTTACGATAGAATAGATAGGTTTATCCTGCTTTTTCCAGGCCAAAGCATTAATTCTTCATATCCTCTCTCCTACATCTTTTCAACCAACGCTATCGTGGTAGTCTCCGGCCTTCATAGTATGGATTAGTCTAAAATGGCCACAACGTCAACTTTGTATGAACAAAAGTCAAGACTAGAGCTCTCACATTATTTTATAAAAGAAATATTTACGAATTCCAGATATGTGATTAAATTTAATTATTTACTATAATATTCATATTATAAGAAAACAAAGACGTTGGGATCATATTCGACCTCATCTATAATTATATTTTCATATGATTTTAGTTTTATGACCGCCCACCAGGGTCAAAATCTATGCAGTCTTAAAATCAGCACATGGAATCTAATTTCTTAAAAAAGCAAAAATGGTGTTCTTTTTAAGTAGGTTTCTCCGTAAATGATAAAGCTGAAAGAAGACAAGTGTGCAAATTTGGGAGGGCGAAAACTGGGTGTGGGGGTCATCAACAGTTCCCATTGGTCATTCCTTATATATGTTTGGAAATGTGGGAAAATTTTGCCAGAACTTGTGGTAAAACAATCTTCAAACTTTGAAACCCAGACGAAATCTGTAATCAAAACCACCCAAATACTGGAGAAATTGGCAACCTGTTTCACCTTCCCCCCTCTTCAACGCCAGAGTAGCTTATCGTATCATATTATGCAAAGAGGAGACCCAGAGATTCGAGGCATTGTTTTATATTCTTTTAGATTTTGATTCTTTTGGGTGGAGTTTTTGAGAAGATGATAAAATGGTGGTGGGTTTCAGCTTTCCAATTGGTTGAGCTGTTTGTTAGCTCAGTGGTTAATCTTTTATATGGTTCTACGTATATAGCACTGCCGTTGCTGTGGACCTCCATCAGGCTTTGAGTGATCGGATTTCAAGGCTAATGCAAGCTTAGAGGTGAAAAAAAAACAATTCCTCTACGACCAACGTTGATGATGCCTCCTATTGTTTTGGTTCATGGAATTTTTGGATTTGGCAAAGGAGTATGTTCATCTTCCTTCTTTTGCTGTTCTGGGTCCTTTTCTTTTTCTTCTTTTAGTTTAAACTGAATTTATGATCTGATGTTGGGTTTTATTTGCAGAAATTTGGAAGTTTTTCGTATTTTGGAGGGGCTGAAAAGAAAGATGAGAGGGTTCTTGTGCCTGATTTGGGGTCACTTACAAGCATATATGATAGGTAAGTTGATCAATAAGCATTAATGGTTGCCATTTAGGTTTGATTTTTGTATGTTTATATGGGATTTTTGGCTTCAGGGCTCGTGAATTGTTCTATTATTTGAAAGGTGGGCGAGTTGATTACGGTGAAGAACATAGCAAGGCTTGTGGGCATTATCAGTTTGGACGACTTATGAACCAGGAAAGCTGAAGTTTCTCAGTTCTTTAACGTATTACTGCTGTTTATGTGTTTTAATGGATGAATTTGCCCACTCGATTAGCATAATTAAGTGTTTGTTGCTGGAAATCAGCATCTCTCTTGCGATTTCCGAATCGTTGCACCCCATTGGCAGATGGTATATACTTGTAAGATATTGCTGTTAAACATCATGACTAAGTGGACTGGAGAAGACTATCCCTTAAGCGATTTGCTTTTCAATTCTCGTTTTGTACTGAATTGATCCGTTTTCCATGTAAGACTGGCTTAAATTGTTGTACTGTGATATTTGAACTGCAGGGCATTACTCTGAATGGGATGAAGATCACCCTAATTCACATTGTTGGCCATTCAGCCGGCGCTCAGGTTGCACGCGTATTGCAGCAGATGCTTGCTGATAAAGTTAGTCCGTTTCCGATTTGTATGTAGAGTTGTCTTTTACCGACGCTTTCCTCCATTGGGTGCTGATCAATTCTATTAGTCATTTTTTTGTTAGGCATTCAAGGGATATGAGAATACTTCTTAGAATTGGGTGTTGAGCAACCAAGAACCCAAAGGGAGGCTTAGAAATTTTAGTAAAATGTGACAAAAGTGCCTATATGACAATGAGTTGTTCAGTTAATAAAAAAATATATAATGAAAATATTCTAGCTTGCGATGGTAAATTTTAAACAGAAACATTTAAACATGATTAACTATCATTTAATGACTTAGATAGAAACATTTGATAATTAGTGTTGTATTTATATTTATGACTGAACAACCATTAATAAATCATTTGGAAGATGTTACACAGATTTTTTCTTCCAGGATATATGACCTCCCAAATAAATAAATAGAAGGTTGCATAATTATGTCACAAACAACTTAGCATTTATCCCATCAATCAACCCAAAAGTAACTCAATTTTTTTCTTTCACATGAACAAAACCTGGATGGAAAATTTCAGCAGCCGACAAAAGTTTTGTTCACTACAAGTAACTCATTATTTATAGACGGTGACTTTGTTCACTAGTAGGAGCTGTTAATGAGTTTGTTCTTATATTTGGAGAGCAGCAGCTATGGAACCAGCAAGGCTAAGAATTTCAAATGGAGATTTGCCCCTTACCTCTTTCACAGTTCCAGGACATGAATCAGTCATCCAAAAATAGGTCAGCCCATTCTCGGGGTTCCCTGCATAAATTGACACAACATCAGCCAACTAAATACACAAACAAAGAGCAAACCAAAGCATCTGAATGTTCTATACTTAGAGCATCCGGTACCATTTTCAGTTGATTATTCTTGTTGTGATTGTGCCTATATACTGTAGGATATGATACTTCCAAAATACTAGTATAGGTGCGTGCAGTACCTCCATTATCATGTTCAAATCGTTGCCATGACCTGTTAGGGAAATACCATGTGTCACATAGGCACTTATTTTAGTAGCTCCATTGGCTGCTAATGCTTTCTGCAAGACATCAACACGATGCGATGTTAGTATGGAATTACAGGCTTTACAAAATGAGATTGAAGCTAGGAGGTTGACACATGAAAAAAGAATTAGTGGAGGAATTCCTAGTTATAGGTAACATACCTGGCATTCGATCAGAGTGCCGCCTGATTGAACCAAATCATCAACAATCACAACATGCCGTCCTGCAGCTTCTCCCTCCTTGATACGTACAATTCGTTTGTCCCCGATCCGAACCTTGTTACAAACAATCTGTTACCAATTCAAGAGGGTTATGCCAGTATCATATGCTAATAAGTTTTATTTTAAAAAAAGAAAGAAGGAGAGATACAAGTTTAACTAAATAAGTCATAAAAATTGTCTAGATACAACTCTAAAGACAAAGGGAGACCTTGGTCACTTCCATAAAAAGGATAAGAAACCGCACACATGTGGTGTCACAAATATAGAGATTCTTCTACTCCAAGTAACTGAAAGAAAACTTCCAGATAATGTTCACCCATATTTTTGTGGTCCACCAAATAAGAAATTAGAGAAAAATTGCAGATGGAATGCTGACTCCAACAATATGCTATTTGTATTCCAAAATGAGCTAAAAACTAGATGTCACATAGAACACAGCACAAAAAGTAAACAACATTCAACATCATGAATATATCCACATGGTTATAACAGCAGACTAGAAAGTTTACAGTAGAATTTCGGGCCTCTCCAACATATTTAGATCTCTCATTCACCACTAGCCTGATACTAATGAGGAAACAAGACTCTTGAGCCATGCTATGGACAGGAAACATTATATTTTAAGTGAGAAATTTGAACCCAACATAATATTCCTTTTTACAAGCTCAAGCCCTTACCCGTAGGTCTGTCCATTTATAAACACACAAATTCATAGGTTTCAAATGAACTAGCAAACAAAACCCCAGGGCCTTTTTCCCTACATACCCTGCATGATTTTTCGCAGAAGTGAATAGGCTATTAGACAAGGTGCTGTCGGGACTAATCAGATAAATTAGCTCATGTGTAACAAGTAATACTAATAACTGAAACATGATTCACAAATGCGAACAAACAATAGGAATCAACACTTTCAGGCTAGTGAAATGACTTCAGGAATGAATCAATGCACACTAAACACAATTACAAATGATGTAGCGTATCATTGTTTTCTTTGCAGATGTTACATACTGTTGGAAAATGTTGCAGCTGCTTATGAAATCTTTTCCACGCACCATCATCCGGAAATGCAATGGATATCTGAAAATCAAAGAAATAATATAGCAGAATATTAGAAATAAAAAAATAGCTCTTTTAAGCATAAAGAATGACCAGTTCCAAACTTCAAAATTAATTTTAATGAGGAACAGCAATCTCCACCAAAACCAATATTCTTGAATTATGAGTTAAAAATCCAAAAACACAGGACAAAAGAAAAGATTAACCTATTCTCAATTTGAGAAGTTTAGAAGTGTGGAAATCATATGACGAGAACCCTGAGAATTCCTTATTTTAGTTTGAGGTTCATGCTTTAATTACAAAATCATTTAATCAACCTGCAACAAATCTCACAAAGCTATTTTAGCTTGTATTGATCTAACTTTTCATTATTATTGAAGTAACTTTGCCTAACACATATTTAGGGCATGGGTTTGATGACCTCCGGGTCCCTCCAAATATATGGAAAAACTTGGAATTTTTTTAATATTCCTCTGTGCATTCCCATATTTGACAATCTCACCAGAATACGAGCGACTTGGAATAAAAGTGAAATCACCTTCATCACAAAAAACACAAACACAACAGAAAAGGTCATCAATCTTACTTTGTCAGAGTCAGGGAGCTGTTGAAGCCTATCATAAGCAACGGAATCCCACTCTCAAAGTAAGGCAGTATATTATCTCCGAAGTAAAATCTTTCCTGCAAAAACAAAAAACCAAGTCAATTTTTTTCAAGAAACTATTGGAAGATATATGTATATATACATACAATATGAATTTATAAACCTGTAAAGCATGGATATCGAATGTAACTAAGCTAGTCGGCCCCCCTCTAGAAGTAGGTATATTCGACAAAATTCTAGCAAGAGTAAAAGCCGTGGCTACATCTCCTTCGTCCTCCATTCGCTCGGAGGTTCCGGTGGGAAAAACGGGAGAACTAGCGTGAAGGAGGAAATGAACAGTTTCGGCAATGCATAGATGACCGATAACTGCTCGAAAATCACCGACGGGGAACTAAATGAGGCTAAAAAGGCTACATTCTGACCTCGAATCCCTTGCGCATTTGGTATGAACAAGTTAGGGAATCCGTCTTCAAAAGTCCTAAAATAAATAATTGAAACTTGTTAACCTTACTGTTACGGATTTAATTAACAATAATATCTAAAAGGCTATCGTTGGGATGAGATTCGATGAGGTTACCGCCATTTGATGTTGCGAAGTTCAATGGTATCCGACTCAGCAGCGACTCTCTCGGCAAGCGCCTTGGTCCTTGCAGTAAAAGAGGCAGACTCTTTTGACGGTTTTGACCGAGGAATCGGAGGCCATTGACATCGGAGAAGGAGAATTCAAATGGACCGGTTCGGGTCCGGAGAGAAAGTCCACACTCCAATTCGAAGGTTGATTCTCAAAGCTCTTGATCTGACATTGAAAACGACAGCGTTTCTCGTCGCGTAAGGAAATCGAAAATGTTTAAAGGAAGTGAGATTGGAAAGGAACTTTCTCCGGCTTAGGAAAGAGGAAGGGAGCGGATGCGATGTGGCCGCCATAGCGCGGCGGCGGCAGAGTTAGATTGGGGACGGTTTCCCGGAGATGTGACGCTTATTATTCGCTCAATGTCGCTAAATACCAAAGCGGAGATGAGTCTGACTGTTGACTCGGTTGGGTAGGTGGATTTTTCTTGGATTGATATAATCCCTAAAAGCCGCTTTTCGCACCTGCTAATTTAATTGCAGAAAAAATTATAAATTTAAATTAACTAATAGTATATTTAAATATATTTTTAGTAATTTATTCATCTTTCAACAGATATCAAACCGCAGCAGTTCCCCCCCCCCCTCTTCCGCATGGGGGGATAGGCGATGCTGGTTTTGGCCAATTACCGCCTTTTCTTTTTTCTTCTTCTTAGTTTGGTTGAATCTAAATAATAATGCTTTCTGTAAATGGGAGTTGTCATTTTGATTTTTAGTTAGTTTTAGTTTGGTGGTTTTTGTCGCTTTTATTTATGGTTTGGCATAAATATGATGCTTAATAGGACGATAATTAGGTTATTGTTTGGAATTTAGGAGGTTTTAAATAAAAATATATTAAATTTAAAAAATAGTTCTTAGATAAATAAATTTAGATTCATTTAGAGATATATTAAGGTCGATAATATCTCTCTGCTTAATAAAAAAATTAGATTCGTTTAAATATAAATTTAAGTTTAATATAGCTCTATTTGTTTTATAAAATTATAATGTTATAATATTATTTTTATTATTACATATTTTATACCGCATAAAAATAAATTTATAATATATAATATTAAAATCTTATAAAATCAATGTCGTACA